TTAATTCAAAAGTAGTATCCAAGAGTACGTTCCAAGAAAAATTCAAGCCATCAAGCACTAAAGGCGACGAATGACTGCGGAATGAATCTTAAAATAACGCATTACACCGTCGGATACGATATGGACGGTTATGTAAACCATATATACAAGAATTGTAAACAATAATAATGTGTATTGTGTAGAACGCTTAATATAGTCAAATTGACTCAAATAGTTGATACAAAATAATATTTAAAAAAAATCAAAATTGTATTTTACATTGGTAAAATAATAATATAATACTATTAATACTGCATGTCCAAAAATAATATTGTTTGAAAACATTTCGGTTTAGCTGGTTTGAACCATTAAACCCCCGTGCATGTACCGATACCATATTTTCTACATAATTATTGACTTGAGTTGTAATATCGTAATCCGAACAAAACCTGATACCTAGCTTTTTTAGTATAGGAAATCACTTTTTAACGGTATGTGAGTTTTGACAGTTGTACAATAATATATTAACTATAGGCATAACCGCACATTAGATTTTGCACTGAAATAGGTACATCATTATACATACTACATAGGTAGCAAATATATATTTTAAAGTTAGATCCGAATATAGAATATAAATCAATATTAGTTATTGCTCATATCAATATTGATAACAAGTCCTTGAATTTTAAAATAACTTTTGATTAAATATACAATTCCAAAAACAGTGTTTAAACTATATTAAGTAGGTATTATGCACTTTAATATTATAATATGGCCAATGTTTTTTTATAAATGTTAATAATAATAATTGTATGTGTATACAATTTCAAAGAATAAATAAAATATTATGCTGTTAAATGGGGATTGTAAACAATTTTATAGAAATTTAAAACGCTAGAAAAGTAGGTACTCGTACCTACATCAAAAATTGGATATTTGTACCTATATATTCTTTTAAAAATATATCAACTCACGTCAGGTAATAACTAATAAGAGACTAAACTAGAAAACATCTTTAAATTTTTCAAATAAATTCCATTGTAATAAAAAAAAAATGTTGTGTTTAACTTGTTGTGACGTGTAAATTTATATATTTGATAATCTAAAATAAAATACGCCAAATCCTTCAATAGTTCCGACCCATGATCATAATAAATAATAAATAATTTAATATTATTTTATTTATTATGCTAATATGAAATAATATTTGTATGTATTGACCTCTGAATATCCTATTTTTAGACGTACACCATAAATAGGATATCTTAATAAAGATAAAATAATAATACAATTAAGAATACCTACCTACGATATACCCATCTAATTATTATGTATGATATATGGTAAATTATCAGTGAGAGAAAGGGTTTGCATTATGGCGGCCGATCGTAAGTGTTTTTATTATTATTTTTTAGATTCTGAGTGAAACGATGAATGTATTGATTTTACAATGATGTGTGTTTTTTTTTTATTTTTTTTGTGTCTGTGTACACGATAAGTAGTCGAAATAATGCTTCGATTTTCAACTTCAGTATCTTGTTCGATTGGAAAGTGAATATCGTTGGTGCATTGGGGAGGTCAAAATTTAAATTTCCCAGCAGTTTTCAAAAGCGCCGGGAAAAACAAAATAAAAATTAAGGAAAAACGGGAATTTTTACGCAAAATCGGTTTTCCAAAAAATCGATTTTGGTTTTTGGTGTAACTTTAAAACAAATAACCGTAGATACATGAAATTTTCAGTGGTTGTTTATATTTGCATTTTCTATACACGATAACATTTTCAAAATATTTTGATTTATTTTGAACTGTTTAGGGACATTTTCAGTTTCCAATTTTATTAGTTTTTTTTTTTATGAATATCAATAAAAATGTATTTGTTGAGTAAAAATACTTGAAAATTTAATACAAGGCTCCTACTATATTTTTTCAAAGACAGATGAAAAATATTAAAAATCGTTAGTCACAGTTTTTTTTTTCAAGCATTTAAAGTTCAAAAAATGACAAAATATGGAAAAATCACGAAAATTTGCAAATTATTTCGAGTTAGAAATTCATAAAAATTTTTCTTTTTAAATCTAAGATATGAAAATGTAATACAAGATTCCTTATAAGATTTCCTACATTTATCAAAAAAAAAAATTCTATAAGAAAGTCAAATTAAATTTTTATGAGCGTTTGAAATTCAAATTTTTACAACATTGGATATTCACTCGATATCTCATGTGGCGATTTCCTTATTTTGTTGTAATTCAAAAACGAATTACTGTATATACATGAAAATTTCACTGAATGTTTATATTAGCATTTCCTATACACCATACAATTTTGAAAATATTTTGACTCTTTTTGAGCCGTTTACAGACATTTTCAGTTTTCAATTTTTTAGTTTTTTTTTTCTATAAATATTAATAAAGTTTTATCTGTTGGGCCAAATAAATAAATAAATAAATATGATTAATTTGGAATTTATTATAGGTCAATTTTTTTTTTAATACCATAGATATGTATATAATATGTCTTAAACCTAGACTGACATACCGTCTTCACTCAGAATCGTTTTTCTTATACAATGATATTGTATCATTGAATTCAAATTTAATACCATCCATTATACAGTGACCCACTTGTAACCTACTGTACAGCAGAGCGACATCCACTTACCCACCTTTTTTTTATTATTATTGTTCAATTCGCTTCAACAACAAATAAGTTATTAGCGTATAGAAGTAATTATTTTTTTTTTCAAATTACAATTTCTATTTCTTTAAATGTTAAATTATGTATTACTAAATTATTTTATTTAGTTCTAAATGTTATTTTAATTTAATAGGTATATTATTGTGTAGTGTGTGCACAAACAAGTATTATCGGACATCGACACAAATACACAATTAACAGTGTCTTCAGATTCGACAGTCTCTTCACACTCTTTAACTCTTGTGGATTGATGAGCGGGTAGCCGCAGTACCTACTTAATTTTACGTTAACACAATGAAGGGTTCATAGAACAATATTTATAATTGTAATTATTTTAAAGAAAATGCTAAAATAAACATTAAACATTCAATGAAAATGTCATGTATCTACGGTCATTTGTTTTAAAGTTATACCAAAGACCAAAAACCATAAGCCATTTTGTTGAAAACCGATTTTACGTAAAAATTCTCGTTTATCCTTAACTTTTTCTTTATTTTTCCAGTCACTTTTAAAAACCACTGGAAATTATTTTACTTCTAACTCCCCACTATATAGATTGACTGACACTGTATCCGCTGAGAATCGTCTTTTAAACAAAAACTATAAAATATTGACAAATATTTACTAATTAAATAACAATAGTTAAGTGACGTTTTCTGTCGTAAGCGTATATAATAAGGCAAATTATACGTTCTGAATAATCAATTTAATTCTGTTATGTTTAATATTGGAGAAAATTTAGAATTAAGAATATTATCTAGTGAATCTCATCGGTTTTTTTTATACTTTAATTTTAAAGGTCCCCACACACTGGAGCGGACAGATAAAACATATATGAATGTAAAGTCCTCTTGAAGCGAGTTATTGAAGAGTTATTCATGAGTACTTTAAAATGTACAAACAATTTACAATTTTAAAACACATGTGCTATTAACGTACACAAAATTATTCATCATAGCCAAAAACTGAAAGTTGTAACAGATTTTCATAGAGTTAAATGTACCTATGGAAAATATTTGTTAGTACAACATATTGGATAAATCAACATTTTTATCATTATTGGTATGTTCAGTGGTAAAAAAAAAATAATTGTATTTATTAGTATTTTCAACATAGTTATATTTTCACAAAGTTACAACATCAAAATTGTATTTTATGCAGCTCATCCAGAAATAATAAAGTTACTTTTTTTTACATCCAAAAAAATAAAATCTATAATCGTTCAAAAATCAAAACATTAAATCTAAAATGGTGATTAACAGTTCTAAATAAATAAATAAATATATTTTGTTTTTTAACATTTTAAGATCAGTACATTATTATTGCATGAATTTGATCTATTTGGTAATTTATTAACATGTCACCAATAAAAGTGAATTTATAATTCAATTAATATCAAGTATAAGATCAAATTCATTTCACATAAAAAAGTATACATTTGTATGTTCAAAAAAATCGTATACTAGTCTAAAAACATTTTTTCTTAAAGGAATGTTAATATTTCTTAACTTAGTCATAATTAACATAAAAATAAAATAATAATAACCATTCGTTTTAAAAAATTCAAAATATATTATTAGTTCCTAATATAGAAAACTAAAGATATTTGGGATCCATTATTATTGACTTTTATATTGTATACTCAAGTTGGACTCAAATTAAGAATCATTCAGTGTATATTGTTATGTTAATTTATTATATCAATAAACTTCAAGTATACTAAAAGACTTCAGGAATGTTAATATAAATTAACAAATAAAAATTTGGCAACTTTTGGAAGTTCAAAAATTATTTCTGTAAATTCAAAATATGAACATACTAATTTTAGAAAAACATAGTATAGCAGATTAGCTTCAAATATACAATAGAAATGATTATTTATTTGTTTAATAAGTTATTAAAGTTAAGAAAATCAATGCCTATTAAACAAATCAAATACCCACAATTTGGTATGTTGTTATCATAATAATATGAATAAGAAAACATTTTGATTTTGTTGCAAAACTTATTGCTTTGGTTGCAAAGTCTATAAGTTATCTAAGTAATCTATTTTTTTTTTTAATTTATGAGGTATTAAACATAAAATAACAAACACTGTTTAGTGCTTAAATAAAAATATGTTAATAATTAGCCAACCCTCTCCAAAATACTCATATTAGAATTTGTTCAGTATTTATTCTTAAAAACAATATTCAAACCTAGTAATTATTGCTTGTAAAGTATCATTGAAGAATGAATAAATAAAATGTTTTGTCAATAGCATGAATATTAAGACTTAATGAAAATATTGCATGTTACTACGTTTTTCTCATTGCAAATTTTTATGCTTTATAGTAACCAAAGTTCAAACGTAACTGTTCCAAGAAGACAAATGTAAGAATTGTTTGAGGAGCTAATCTCACAAATGCTGGAACGTAACCCTAAGCAACAATAAAAATACATGTAAAAAATATTTACAGAAGTAATAATCTTACATTCTTACCTTAAAGAAACCCATTGGTCCAAGCTTTGCAGTGTATCTAACTAAATCAAGTGTACCCTAAAAATGTATTCAGTTTAGATTAAAAAAAAATGTATTATTAGACATTTTTACTAGTGTTAAAACATACTGAAAATTCGCCTGGTTTGGCATTCATTGCCCGAGTTTTTAGCACATCCAACGGTTGAGTAAGGGTTGTTGCAACAGCGCCCTACAAATTTAGTAAATAATGAACACATCATCAGGAAAATGGTTTACATTTTGATCCACTTACAGCAGTAAGACTAGATAAAAAGTGTGTAGTAGAGTTGTCATCAAAATGTCCAGATGATAACAATAAGTGTTTTCACTGATCATAGAATGATAACTGTCCAACAGTCATTAAAACGGCACGCATTGTAGCTGTTGATGCGCCCGAAAACAATCTGGTAAACCCTTCTTCCCGCCAAACACGTAAAAAACCATCAAAAGCATGCTTGTAACTAAAACCATTAAATTGTATTAAAATTTACTTTTAATTTAATAAAAGAAAACATTGAGAATTAAGATATGATGATGGATGAGGTTTAACTATTTAAGCGTATACTGTTTCACATCTATATCTCATTTCAATAAATTATACTTTCTGTACTCAAAGTGTTTTCAAAAATATCCATGTGTTGGATTGAATATTGACACCCAAATTTTAATATCCATTGAAGGATTTTTCTACCGAAGTTGGTACAATGCACAAATCAAATGGATTCGAATCGTGAATGTTTCATGTAAATTTTCACTAACAAATACATGCACACCAAAGCACTGTTAATATAATGTGAATACTGAATAAATAAAATGTTAGTATTTCATCACATTCATACTTTCTGCGTTTTTCCAGTGGTAATTTTACGTCATTCTGCATTCGCACATTAATCATATCAGCTGGGGTTCCAACAAACCCACCAGCTGCCCCTGCAGCAGAAGCCAATAGCACTGTTTTATAGAACGGAATATTTTCACCAGGGTTGGTCATTGCTTGTTTTCCAACCTAAAATTAAACACAATTCATTACAAATTGTAGAGGTCAAAGACACATTACTACAATACCTCATATATTCCAAATCGTACAGTTGAATATGACAGTTGTCGACACAACGACGCTGAAATACCTGTGTACAGTGAGAATACCCCTTGTTCTCTGACGATTTTCATTGCCAAACGGCTGACGGACAGTTTACCTTCTTGTTGTGTTTGTAAATGTACCTGTGTAACAGTCTCAAAATAGTTGATCCAGTCGTTAAGGCGCATTTAACATTTACCTTGAGCAAGTCCAATGGATGTGTACAACATGCAGCACCAGCCGAACCAATACCACCAAAATACCATCGTGAAAACTTTTTACTTTTATCGTTAGCTGCCATTTTATTGCTCTTCTGCCAAGCGTTACCTGAAGAATGTACAAAATTATTCACAATAGTTAAAAAAGGAGTCTAACTTATTAGCAAATATGACTGCAACTCAAAATGAATATAATTTTACAATTTAAACGGCGTTAACAAGTAAACCATCATCAAGCCACTGCCGGTAATTTATTCAGACCTGTGTGTCAAGGTAACAACAAAATCCAAAAATCTAAGATCCAATAAAAATCCTAATCATCGATATCTAACCCTATAGACCCTTACCGGGAGAAAAAGAGACGTATTCGAAGTTCTATGAATTACTTGCTGTTCCCGGACGTCCTTACATGAACTAACTTTTCAACTTTCCCCTTGGGTTCCGGTCATGATTAATATCCGTTTCGGCCGTGGGGGAACGTATAGGTACTTTATTGGTATAATAAGTATTTAACGGAGTGTCGACTACCGGTCTATAATAAATTTATTCTGTGATAGTACTCATCTAATGTCCATATTTTGTTGTGAAGACTGAAGAGGGGTGAAGCCGTGAAGGGCAAATTGTGATAAGACAATGTCAAACAAGTCACAAGATAACCAACATTTTAACAGATTATATTGATTATAAATCTTTATTATCGTGCATTTTAAGAAAAATAAAAATAGTAAATACAGCGAACCTACGAACCCCACGGATTTGAAACGACCAAGACACATAGATCCATGACAAAATAATTATATATATTTTGTCATGAATAGATCATAATTCATAATATACAAATTACAATTGTATAATATGATCTAAGGAAACGACCAACAAGTATTTTATTATTATCACAGAATTGTTAAGTAAAATATTATATATATTTATTTACATTTTTCACCGGGTCTGAAGCATAGATCTATGGACTATGGTGGTCCGAAAAAACTGAATAGATATATTATAATATACTATAGTCCTCACTCAAATAAATAAAATGTAAATTATTGTGTCTCAGTATTCTATATATGAGTACATTATGGCAATATCTCTCCAGCATAGGCCATAGAATATAATATGAAATATCTATAGATTTCTTTATTTATAGATATTTTATTTATTATGTGCCGTGTCTATAATGTGCCCCGTGGTCTATACTCTATAGATCGGTCGCTCGAAAAAGTAATTACTAATTCATTATGGTATTTCTATAATATAGAATGTTAGAATCATTACTAAATAAATTCTATATATTGTTGGTTATGGGCATGATTTTATGTTACTGTTTATCATTTGTCTACTAGGTATTTTTTTTTATAGAATATTATTTGTTATTCTAGTCAAGTCAAGTATATTCTTTATAGTATGAGTCAGGTCAGTACTCAGTAGTCTTCATGCACAACATCAATAATTATTCCTTACGGTCACTAGCATACTTAGATCATAATAACAATATATATAAGCATGAGTACGACACTCCGTGAATGGACCGAACCGGACCGGCCAATTATTGTGGGCTGTGGCCTTTAGTATTGTTCTATGATTTAAGCTAGCATATCACCCACGTGTCATGGTTTAAGACATGACAAATTAATTTGTCATGGTATAAGAATAAGATCACGAATTAAGATAAATTCGTGTTTAAGATATTATCTTAAACCGTGATATCACTAGCACAGAATAAATTATAAATAAATATATTATAATATATGATTATTTATATAAATATAATCATAGCCGTAGATAACATATCATTGTATCATGACATTAATTTTCGGACAACAGCTGCTTATCACTCGTAATTAATTAGGTAATTTCGATTTAGTCAGTTGGTACTACTTTTTCGAATTTTAGACCTTATCATTTCTCGGGTCCCTATCACTTTTCGGACAAGTGCTTATCACTCTGATCTCACAGTCCACGCGTTCCTAATTCCTATACATCCTGATAGCGGGAAAACATTTTAAGTTTAAAACAAAATCGCGACTTGGTGGCTCTTAGTCTACACTCTGTCTGGCTCCCGCTGTCCAGTGTCCACTACGTCGTTTGACTGCTGACGAGATGTCCAACGTGGACGTTTTGGAGCAATTGCAGCTGGTGCTCAGGCCCGACATGTCGGACCGGCGGATTGTGTGCGTTGAGGAGGCGGACACCGCCAAAGCGGACATGATCCTATCGTTTTACATGTGGTACGTGTTCACCAAGACTGACCTTCCCGTGTGTATGGTTGGTGTCCGGGACACATATGGTCACTACCAGAACGTAGGACTGAAGTTCCATTACAACTTGTTGTCAATGTCCAATCAAAAGCGATTTGCATTTGCCGAGTCTATTGTGTCCGTTGACGGTCTGGTCGGCTGCGCGCAAGACCTATTAAAAAGATACCCTACCGGCTCTGTCTACATGGTAGTGGATGACGTCAGTTCGCTATTGTTGTTGGGTGAGAGCCTTGAGGACATTGTTAGATTCCTGATGTTTGCCAAGCGTCAACCGCGCCTTTGCTTAGTGATTGGTTGTTGGAAACATAAGGCTGATGAATCAGCTAAGAGGCTAGCATCTGCTGTGTCGCATCTGGCCGACATCAGGGTGGCATTGGCACCTTTAGTTACTGGGTTTTCTAACACTGCAACAGGCACTATGAGGATCACTACACACGAATCAATGTTCCGCATAGATGACGTGTCTTACCTGTACAAGTTGGCCGACAATGGTCTTAAGTTAACATTAAATTCAGGATCTATCAGATAAAACCATTAGGTTTTCAAACATTTTATGAGCTGTTGTAAAGTGATATGATGTGATGCATTCTGTTTGTATAAAATTAATTAATAATAAACTGTAAATAAATATCAACTAACAATAACTTGTCTATTAATTTTATTAAAAAATTGTATACAAGCAAACACACACAATTACAACATAGTATTAAAAATTCAATAATCATAAATCACAGAAAATCAAAAGTAGAACGTAAGTTCATAACAATCAGATCTTTATTTAATAAATAAATAACAAAATACCTAACCTTATTCATTATTTTACACAGATTTATAACACTCATCTACAATCTATTAAACTGCCTTTTTAGTAGCAATAAAAATAGTTAAATAATTCCTACTTCCATGTAATATTGTAGATATAATTACACTATATTCTAATACATTTATAGTTTTTAGTAATTAATATACATATTAAATAATATTATATTATAATATACGTATACATTTAGTCAGTAAGTATTATGCGAGTATAAAACAGTATCGTAATATCATTTTTTTAATGTTCTTTTTTTACATCAGATCAAAATGTATTAAATTAATAATAGATAATAGTTGAATATATAAAAAAATTAGTTATCCAAACTCAATAAATACTTTAAAATATAGGAATGTGATATTTAGTATTTACAATTATATTATTATTGATATAAATTTAAATAGATACAACACAATGTAATAACAATTAATATACTTTTATATTTTGGTTTTCAGAGATTTTATACCACAATTTTTATAATATATTTGATTTTAGTTCATATTAGTGTAATCCTCAAAAAATTGATTTTATTTCATAACAAATTAAATTAGATCTATTTAGTGTTTTAGACTTTTAGTCAACAAAAATAATGTCATAATGGTTTTTCAAGAAATACCGGATGACACCAGTTATTGCATTCAAAATATATTAATCAATGTTTATAATTTTAAAGTGTTAACAATTTAATAAAAATGTTACTGTATTATCTGAATTACCAGGAAAATCCTAGTAAATATTAAAAATAAAATATTTGCTGACCAATTTTTCAATGCAACTGTATAGAGTAATAATGTTAAAAAATATATATGTTTGAATATTTGGCACAAGAATTCAACATTAGTTTATTCAAGTTTTAGCTAAGTCCAAATATTAGAAATATAGGAATCAGACAAGATGTCATAAATGTACTTATATTATTAAAAAGAACTTTAAATATTAAATAATAACTAGTATTACCTATAGGCTATAACTGAAATATTTTTGATACTGTTATATAAGGCGGTAATGTTCTTACATTTAAGCCTCCCCAAAGTCAATGGACGGTATGAGACATAACAATATATATTAATAATAATAAAAATAAATTTACTTAGTTATATTATATTTGACAACTTCAAAACTGTAGCTTGATTACAACGCTTAAGCACAAATTCACACTTTGGTTGGAGCCAAGGTTCGCCATCAACTTGAACTGGTAATTTTTGTAATAATTTTACCTGTCAATCATAAAATGTTTATAAGTCAGCAACATACATTTATCAATTGCATAAAAATAAAATGTAACTTACTCTGATTACAGATGCTTGACCAATTCTAATGGGTTCAGCAATACCCATTTTTAGCTGTGCAATATGTATGGAAGATCGTATGCCAAGTACTTCTAACAATCCATCATCAATGAATTGTGCACCAAACTCATTACCATCGTTAGCTCCTAATTTCCATAAATTTACGCCAGCACCCCAAGATTCAATATTCACAATTACAAGGGATTCTATATCTGGTAAAACTATTTTTTTGTCATCCATATATAACTCAATCATATCAGGCAGTCCTTTACACTGATGTTCTAGAAATTGTTGTGTACCGCACCCTACATATATCATCTTATTCAACAGTGTACTATTGAATAAGTATAATGGTGACTTTCTAGTACGATGAAAATTCAATGTTATTTGAGCGTCTAAACCGATTCCTAAATAATTGTACATTGTGATAGTGTTTGTTATTTTTATCTTCTTCAATACATTTGACAAAATTTTCACTTTCCACCTAGTAAAAAATAATCAGCATTAGTCTTTTGGTTAATTTACTTTCTATAATAAAATAAAAAAATAATTAACCTATCTAATTTTACAACTGAAATATTATCAAGAGAATTCACTATTCCGGAACAATCAGAGTCAGAGTATGAAGTTCCCCATCCCAATACCCTAGACAAGTCATTGCCTGTACCAAGTGGTATAATACCTACAGCAGGATCTATCTGAAAATGTTCAGTTTATTATTAAAATTTGTATCATTGATGTATCAAATAATGGAGGATATATAATTACTCTTAATTGCAAATTATGAATGCTGTTTAATACACCAGCTACTGTACCATCACCACCAGCAACTAAGACAAAAACACATTCCAGCTGTGTGGTTTTTAACCAATCTAAAGCTTTTTCTGGAGGGCAGTCGATAACATCATACACCTGTATAGGATTTAGTATACTCCGGAAATGTGAAATTATTAGAGCTCCATCATTATTACCAGATTTCTTGTTTGCTAAAGTATTACAAAAAATATATTTGAAAATTGGATTAGATTTTATTTTATAAATGCTTACCAAATATGATTAAAGGTGTCCACTTTTCCCAACCAGGGTGAATAACTTTTTCAATTGTTTGTTTGGATATATTTTTAAATCGATTACTTGTTTTTATACAAAATGGAGGTATAATATATTGGCGATATATTCCAAAATCACATTTCTAAAACAAATTATAAAAAATTTACTACCAAGTATCAGTAATTATTGATTGCCTAATGTTTCAATAACTTTTTAATATAATAATGTTGTTCAGAAATCTAATTGAAATTCTTGATTTTAGTTTTAAATAGCAATATAAATATAAAAATAATAATTTACTTTTACTTTCAGTTTAATATTGTTGTAAACATTACAAGAACTAAGAAGTGATTAAAAACTAACTAATACCTGACTAAATTGAGTAATACAATTTTCGTGTAAAAATCTCCTACACCATATACATTGAAAAAAATGTCCAAGAACACTATCAGTGTCATCATCGGAGGAACAAACACAACATGTAACATCAATTAACAGAGCTATACCAAAAAAATTAAATAATTAATAATAGGTACCTCAATACAATTAAATAATAACTATGTTAAATTATTAAATTAATTACACTTGTTCCAGTGGTGTGTGAAAGTCTTAGGTGGTCTATTGGTGCTTAAAATCTTACAGCATAATCGTTTGTTGGCTTTTTTTACACAGCCTATGTCAACGAAAATCCCACAATTATCACAGTATCGAACTTTTGATCCATGTGTCAACGTTTCACATACGATACAGGCATTTGGATCCTATAAATAATAATGATCAGTAATTTATTTTTAAAACCTTATATTGGAAATATACCTACCCAGACTGATTGTATAATACTTACACTTAATATGTAACTTGGTTTTTCGACCCACACATGAGATGATAAACTTTTGTCGGCCACATAATTTTCAGGAGACAACCATCTGAACGCTTTAATACTTAAGACAAAAACTACAGTTGCAATCAGAAATGCAATTATACTGGACGTCACTAAATCATCTGTATCCAAATACATGGTAAATCTGAAATAGGAAGGTTGAAAATGAAAAAAAAACCCACGATTTTACACTAATATTATTATGAAAAATATAGATTCATGGATGTGTACCTAATACATAAAACGGTTAACCAATTATGTAAGTAGATAGTACCATTATCGATTTACTTTTCAAACTTTGCTACGCTGTATCCATTCCTATATTAAAAAATTAAAATTTGAAATACAACTGATAGTCGAGTGTTTCGGCGTTGCACAATATTCAGCACATATTATCTGACTTTTTGGCAATTTAGCATAATATAATGCTAAATGCGCAAGGGCTTTTGTTTTAAAGTGCGTTTTGTGTGCTATAAGCGGTAGGTATTGTACGTATGATACTATGACAAAACGTATTACGTATAGGTTTTATTTTTATCATTTAAAAATTGCTGGTAAGTATATGGTATATAATATATAGTAATGACATTTGTATTTTTAACTTTTTAAGTACTATTTATTTCATTTAAATTTAATCCAAACACCAAAATATAAATATCCAAAAATGATAACAGTTTTATATCAATCCGATTGGGAGGAAACCCACAGACCTATTATAATAATAATAGACGATGCAAGGGTGTAGTTCGCGTGGTCTTGCCAGGATGCGCTGATCAACAAGATCCGGTGTACTACGCACATGCGCAGCAGATATGTATACAAATATACAATAAACTGTATATAACAGACTGCATAATAATTATTATGTATAATATTATCATAGAACAATTTATATATTATATATGTTACGGGAAAAGTAAGAAATCAGGTATTGTTATGCAATGCCTGGAGCTGAACATTTTGGGCAATGTAAGAATGATCGTTTTAATTCTCAATTTTTTCATACATTGGCCGGCTAAAGTGTACCTTGCCCGGTTCGAGTGGACAAAGTGAATTAAATACTGCAGCTCACTACATAAATTTATCTCGAATGGTATTTATACGTAACACTACCTACGTCACTACAAAACTATTCTTACATATTTTATTCGTTTGATACCACGACTTACGAGTTACGAGCATTGGCACAAATATGGGTGGGGGCTTGGGGGGACTTAATACGGGATGATGGTGGCCAATATAATACGAACCGATCCGTAATTTCAAATTTCAACCAGTGACGTACGTAGGGTTAGGGTTCTAAAGTTCTGACCCCCCCCCCTGAAATTTCTCAAAAAATCTTATTTATCACAATTATATAATATTTAAACCATCTAATTCAAGTTTTTTTTATGATTATTTAAATTGCACAGTAAGATGTTTTGTTTGATTTTTAATATATTCAATATTTAACGTACAGTGACCAAATCTAATATTGGGCACTGTGCACAATGCTCAAGTTCCTACTTTGACAGTAACACAGGGCCGTAGACACGGGGGGTCAACCCCCCACCCCCTTGGAAAGTTTATAAATTTATTTCAAATATTTAAAGCTACTAATATATCTTATATAGGTATTTAAAAAAAAATTGTTATCAATAATAGTTTGTGCACACTGCCAGTGTCTACTGCCACGCCTGAAAGAACTTGTTCCAGTTTGAAAAGAGTAAAGACCTATCTTAGAAATAGCATGAAAGAAGTATGTTATAATAATATATATTTATTTTCATTTTATTAATTAAACACTAGGTACTCTAAATAGGATCGTTTAAATGGATTGGTGCTCTTAAGCTACTATCGAAACATCGAAATAACGCCAGAAGAAGTAGGTACTGGACGAACTAGCAAAAGAAAAAAGAAAAATAGATCTGATATTATAACTTATAAAACACTAAAATAAAGATATAAAAATATAAATAATGTGTTATTTTTTCTTAATTTACTATAAAAAATATAACATGTTATTATTATAATAAACCCCCCTCCCATATAAAATTCCTGTCTACGGCACTGCAGTAACATATATATAATAGTCTCCGTAAAGCAAATTTCCAAGGACCACAGTACCCAAATCCGACTTCCGTATATGCTCCGTCTACCAGTATAAAGTTTATGAGGTAAACCAATCAGTGGCGCCCAACCCTATTACTAAATGTAGCAGTCGCTACACCTTGAAAATAAGGGGTGGGTGGATATAATAACATAAAATAATAAATTTGAAATATGTTCATAATTAATCACAGATTATATTGGTTGATACCTTAATATTTACTAATATTATCAATACAAATATGATAAAATTTATAAAATAATATAATTTTGAGTTTGTTAGAGGTAGGTGGGTGGATAAAATGTTTTTTTGCTACACCTGAAATATAAATCTTTGGCGCCACTTAAACCAATGGACCTTATTCCTTAATATAGGTATTCTGATATTAACTATTAAGCAATATCAATCATACTAAAACTAAAGTTTACAAGTTTATGGTAAACCTTAAAAGTTGCACAGAATAATGCTTACCTATATAATTTATAATAATTTATAACATTATGAATTATGATTTAAGAGATAAACAGTAAACATTAAAATAATTAAACACACTAGTTGTCAGTTGAGTAGCATTAGAGTATTATACTAAGCTAGCCGGGGGGGGGGGGGCAGAAGTGGTAGAACAGCTTATCGCATGACAGTATGAGTGTATGACACACATAGATAACGTCAAAACCGTTTAAAAATTGAAACTTTAATTTGAACTGACATTATATTCATATATCATATACAAAGTTAACCAAAGTCTACGACCTACATATTAGTATTTAAACATATTAAAACCTTCACTATTTTTTTTTATAGCACTGCTAACTGGCTTATTCTAGAATGTTAAAAATTATTAAGAGGTCGTCACTCGTCACACCCGCATATGTTGTCTCCGTCTTACATGCGTATACGACACAGCAAATTTTATACTCAGCAAATCACATTTAGGCATTTAGCCCCGTTAAATTTAAAATTAAAGTGAATTGACCTCTTATAAAATTTAAATGTAAGAATATTATCTAGGGCATCTCATCGGCTTTTTGCTATATTTTAATTTTAAATTGAGTTATAACTTATAAGTATTAAAAAAGTATTTACAATTTTAAAATAATTACACATTTTGTATCTAGGTACTTGATAATCCATTTTTAATGAGCTATCGACTGACTCTATAGTTATCATAGTTTAGGAGAACAGTTAAAAAATAGAAATTTCCCTGTTTACAGTTCACACTGACGTTTTTGTGGATTCAAATTAAGTGCTTATCACGCCACTTGGGTGTGATCTCACGCGGATCTCTCTCATTTATATTTTATATTGAAGCTAGCTTAACTACCCACTTACTCATTATTACTGTGTTACATTTTTATAATTTTCCATTTTAACACAAAATTCTTGAAGTTTTCAAAATTCAGACTTTTTTCATTTCAATTAAAATACTTACTTGATTAAAAATCAAGAAAGTAAAAAATATAGTAAATAAATTACTTAAATAGCCATGATATATTAATATCATAAAATGCCTAAGCCTAGGGCGACACTTTAGTAAAAGGGAGGGATTTTCAAAACAGTGATAATATTATTATTTTTAAGGGCGGCAAAGTTGTATTTTGCCTAGTGCACTATTTTCAATTTAGCCAGACCTGAGTGGTGGTAATTAAATAGGATATGCACCAAGATCCAACTAGATTCACTATCCGATCGAACAAGATACTGTTGAATAAAATCGAAGTAGTTTTACTGCCCAAAAAAGTGATGAACGACACAAAAATATAAAAATTAAAATAAAACAAAAACACACTTCATTGTAGAATCAATACATTCATCGCTTCACTCAAAATTTAAAAAGGAAATTTCTAAAACATCTGAACTCAATATACTCAGTATAGTCATCAGTCATCACCAAGCAGAGAAAATAATTAACAAGTGGATATTAGATTTTGTCAATCAATCAATAGTAGGTGATTAGATAGATAATTGTATCCATTTATCAAAACAATATTGTTTTTCTAATATAAACGTTTAGTAAAAGACAAAATATTATCACAAATTATTGAAGTTTAATTCCAGGACAGTAATTGCAGATCGTTCCAAAACTTTGTCTGGACACGGGACAATACCATACCAGGACGCTATATTTAAACCGGGAGTCCAGGACGTATCACGTATGGCAACCCCACTGTATAGTACGCTGTTTATATACGGCTATATCCGAGTTGGGTCCGAAAATAAACTAGAATTCTAACTTCTAAATAAACCTACTACAGTTCTAAATTGTGTTCGAATTCGGCGTATAACGCTGTGTTAGAATTAGGTCCGCGTATACAATCATATCGCAGTGTATAGTGAGTGTTGTACTACTATGTGGATTTAGTATTTTTTTAAATAATATTATTAATTATTCAAAAGTCCGTACAAAAATATTTTCTGTTTAGAACTTAGAATATATAAAAACTACTGAGAATATTTTAAAAAGTTAAATGTACACGCATATTATATTACATAATATAGGTATACTATTATAATATTATATTAAAGTACACAAAAAGAAAATTTTTTATGAATTTCTAACTCAAAATAATTTGCACCTTCTCGTGATTTTTACGGTAGGTAAATTTATAATTATAAATATTTTAATAGGTATTTAGTAAAAATTAGAACTTTAAATGCTTATAAAATTGTGACTAATTTTAATATTTTTCAACTGTTATTGTAACAATACATGTCTTGTATTCAATATTTTCAAGATTTTTGACCTAACAAATAAAATTGTATTGCCATTTATAAAAAAAAAAAAAATCGAAAACTAAAAATGTCCGAAAACAGCTTAAAACAAGTCAAAATATTTTGAAAATTGTATGGTGTATAGACAATTCTAGTATAAATATTCAGTGAAAATGTCATATATCTACAATGGTTTGTTGTAGAGTTACACCTTACACTAAAAACCAAAATCAATTTGGTCAAAAATCGATTTTGCATAACAATTCCAATTTTTCCTTAATTTTACTTACGAGAGGCCTGCACTGTGTAGAAACTTCAACCAACTAGGTAGGCACCT